TATCTAAATACTAAATTAGATACCACAAATCCCTATAATTAGTATTATACTCACTAAGTAGTTATACAATTAATAATAAGCAAAGTTGGGACTAGGGAGCGCTAAAAAGTTGTTGCCCACGGACGCCAAAATCTTAATTACGGCCCTGAGCTTGACCCTAGCTATTTATATTCAATTATAATTATGTTATAGAAAGTGGGAATCATATTAATTAAAARTAAAACCAGTWGCCAGTAGGTCACTTACTTCGGCGTAGAATAGTGGGGTACTAGTGTAGTATTGCACTAGTACTTACTACTTAATTGAATTCGAACACTGTAGTCTGTGATTAATAGTGTATTGTTGCATTTTAAAAATGATTTTTATTTCCAAACGAAGCTATATGCATTAGCGCAACTATAGACATTTGAACAAGGGGGTGCTTAAGCTTCAGGTTTTTTTGTGACTTAATGAGACCTAACTTTTTAAATAATTCCTTATGGTGCTAATTTTGAGTTAGAGTTTGCTAAGGATCCAAAGCACCGCCCCCCTAGTTGTGCTAATGGCTATATGTACCTAATAGAATGTCGTTTTCAGAAGAAAAAAAAATTTCACACTTTTAACGTTTTTTGGTTTGCATAAGCTATACTTGGATTTTTCCAAATATCAATTGTACGATAGTTTTGTTTTAAATTCATGAACAATTTCAAGTATAAATATTATAAGAGTGGAATAGTGGATAACCGTGTGTGTGATATCACTATTTTTTAGAACCACTAAAACATTTTAAGAAAAAATACCACCCCCTGTAGAATGTACTTCTATATATAAAACCGTAGAATTGAACTATAGCACATTGTTTGATAAAAGTGCGGTTATTTTGTAATCCGCACGACTATTATTTCGTGTCGGATCAAAAAAAAAAAAAGAAAAAGAATTACAAACACAGACAATTGAGAATCTGACCAACAATCAATTTACGGATTTCGTTTTCTCTGAAAAACGTTATTTTAAAATAGTGTACAATAGAATAATGATATTGTTATATATATATATATTTGTGAGGGCGTACAGTACGAACGCACAAAACCACAGGGAACAGACCACCGACATTTAAAATTTCACCAAAAAAATACGAAAAAATATATATAAATATAACCGAATTAATTTGTTATAGGTCATAAATTACCTTGTAAAAATAAAACCGTTCGGATGGTCCGTTATAATTCTTACATCTTATAGGTATACATATAGCTGCAGTTTATTCTCGGTAATATCGTCCCGCAGAGTTCCGGATGTTTATTTTGTCCCCACAGCGCCGACGTGGAATTGTCGCGGCGTGTGCGATCTTCATTTTCCAGAACAATGTCTTACAATACCAGCATGGTAGGTGCCTATATATATATATATATCCAACCGGATACGTTTTATACGTGCGCGTAGATAATGGTGAATAGAAACAGAATGCGATTCGTAACGCCTGGTAGATGTGCAAAAAGACGTTTACAATAAAACATTTTCAGTAAGTCTATATGTTATATTGGTAGGTATACGGATCACGACGACTCAGCCAAATGTGTGTGTGTGGGTGTGTGTAGTGCGTTATTTTTTCATTCGGTCAAAGGCGGATATGCCGACAGCCGACTGTATAATATGTATTGTACTTATTTTTTTCAGACCTGGATCTTCCCCAAAACATTGTTCGACAACATTGACGGGTGGTATTAAATTTAAATTACTTATAGGTATAATATGTATAATATTCTACTGCTATAATATTATCAGGTTTTGCTATTGTCGCCGTCGCCACAGCAGGCGGATGTCCAGTAATCCTTGATCCTAAATAAATAAAAACAGTAGTAGGTAACGATATTGGTGTTACAATAACGTGCCGTTACCTCAAAAATATTATTTTCTCGATTCTGTGTATGGTGTGTCCAATGTCGGCATGTCGCCACAGTTTTTGTATTCTAAGCTATGTAGTGACGTGCTCTGCATTTTTGAACGAGGGATTATAAATTCATTGATTTATCATAAATTTCATATGACAAAAATAATCCGAACAGAGGTATACGACACCCTCCACCCATACCCCTTATCCGGGGCTTCAAGCCAGTTAAACAGTTTTAACGGAAATCACACAATTATTTTGATTAAAATGTAAAAAACTGTTGTTCGCTTTCCCAATTACTTAATACATAATGCCTGAAAACGCTGACAACATTATGTATCCTACATGTAGTATAAAATATTTTATAATAATAATAGGTA